ATGGGTTCCGTACCTGAGTTCCAGAGCCTCTACCAGAGCTCTATAGTTGTGTCTGTCGGCTGCTGTCAACTGTCCACGTATTTCCAGTGGTTGTCCCTTCAAGCTCGTTGCCAGATATACAGCTTTATGCTCCTCTGTCCATCCATTCATCTCTGGCAGTAGCTCAAATTGTGCTCTATATGCTTCCCACGGTGCCTTCCCAGCGAATTCCTGTGGCTTCCTTTTATCGTCACACAACTGCCTTTAAAATACTAATACAAAGTTCGCGATGACCTTTAAAAGAATTTTGTCTTTTATTTACCAGTTGACAAATAAAAACGATTTAAAATATGTTTATTATTATTTATTTAACATGTGAGACCAGCGGATGGAGGATAAGACTAGACTGGTAGACGGTGTATCCTAGGCCCGGGCGTTATAATGTGACGGTCAATCCCACTATTTGTTGGTAAAAGAGTAGCCCAAGAATTGGCGGTGGGTGGTGATGACTAGTCGCCTTCCCTCTAGTCTTACACTGCTAAATTAGGGACGGCTAGCGCAGATAGCCATCGTGTAGCTTTGCGCGAAAATCAAAAACAAACAAACAAACTCACCGACATGCGAGTCCCACTTCCGCAGTCAACTCCAAAAGCCAGAACACATCTTTTATCCTACATTATAGCCTGTGTCCTGGTGATCTGTTTAACTTATACAGCGTTTTTGTCGTAGTTATTAAGGCTTGTTTTGATAATTCAAATGCTTTTCAACACTAGTTCGGTCCTGCTGTTTTTAAAGCAGTCCTTCCTTTTGATGTTGATATTTACTTAACTGATGAAATAATGTTTTTACACATATTAGTATATATATATATATTTATAACATCTATTACGTAATTTACACTAACGAGAACATGACAACAATATTAGGTTTATGCTTACACTGTACCCTAAGGAAGATGTTGTTACTCTCCCCCTGTCCTTCAGTATTAGTAGCAGTACATGTATAGTGCCCTCTACTGGCCTTCTGAACTTTCTGTAGAACCAGGGTTTGATTACTCACGATGATTCCTAATGTAGTATTAGTGTAGATTTCCTGTCCTTCAAATGTCCAACCGATGTTCGTCGCTATTGGATTCGCTCTAATGTTGCACTCTAAGTAAACGTCATTACCTTCTTGAATATGACTGTGTCGAAGTTTACTACCAAGACGTAGAAATACTTGAGGGGCATCTTGGAAAGAAAATGAGAAAATTTGCTACGTATTACGAGTAGTAACATAATATCCACGGCCTTCAAATTAATATTTATTTATTTGACTCTGTATTCTTGATTTAATAAAGTTTAATTGTTCCTATGGCGAAATCTTAACCTATTTACTGTCTTCAACATTGAATGGCATTATTCTATATCAGATAGATTTGTTTTTTTTCATTTTGGTGACACTATCTTAAATATTTTTTGGAGGAGGGTTTGGCTACACATGTGGAACATAGTCTACAAAAGGTTAAAAACCATTGTCTTATAGTATTTTTATGGTTCTCAAAAAACAGTTAAGACCATGTTTTATCTTTAGACTTGACAAATAACATGTTTTTGTATTAATCACACGTATTTCCATCATTGATTAGTATTTTTTATAAGTTGCATGTTTATCACATTGTTTATTATTCTGTGAATGCTAGTTATTTAAGATATGTCGTAGATCAACGTAATAGTCGACATCAACGTTGTTTAACAAGATAGAAACGTTTCAAAAATGTTTATCATGATAAACAACTGCCCTTAGACAAAACATGTGTTTACTTCTGCTTGTATAACAGATGAACGAAATATAACCTTCCTTAAGTAGTAAATAAAGCTATTATAATATAATGTAACTGAGTGAAATTAGAATATTATCAGCTAACAGCAATATTTTATTTACGCATTTCCTTCAGTAAGTTTGTTATCAAACAACGTGGGTGAAAGTAATCTTCTTTCACTTATCCTTTGAATGCTGTGAAAAGTAAACAGTATCTCTAAATATCCGGTTGCACAGTGATACGTTAAACAGTATCTCTAAATATCCGTTTGCACAGTGCTAGGTTAAACAGTATTTCTAAATATCCGGTTGCACAGTGATACGTTAAACAGTATTTCTATATATCCGGTTACACAGTGATACGTTAAACAGTATCTCTAAATATCCGGTTGCACAGTGATACGTTAAACAGTATTTCTAAATATCCGGCTACACAGTGATACGTTAAACAGTATCTCTAAATATCCGGTTACACAGTGATAGGTTAAACAGTATTTCTAAATATCCGGTTACACAGTGATACGTTAAACAGTATCTCTAAATATCTGGTTATAGAGTGCTAGGTTAAACAGTATTTCTAAATATCCGGTTACACAGTGTATTGTTAAACGTTATCTCTAAATATCCGGTTACAGAGTACCACGTGCCATTAAATATAAGTAGCATGATGAGACAGTAACTGGTAATATAAAACAATAAAAAGTAACTCATTTTCAATCTAATCAAAGAACTATGTAAACATATATTGTTTATATTTTAATTTAAGTAACTTTCACAATGAAGGTGATTTTATCAATGTTAGTTTTTAACTAGCAACGATCTTAACTTTCACAATCAAGGTGGTTTTATCAATGTTAGTTTTTTAACTAGCAACGATCTTAACTTTCACAATCAAGGTGCTTTTTCAATGTTAGTTTTCTATCTAATTGTTAAGTATCAAATATTCTAAAATAAAATTTTTATAGTTCGAGTTCAACAATTCCATTCTGTTTCAAGTTCAACTTATTTGAGTCAAATTGATTAAACACATCCACCGGTTTCACATCTATCGTCATAAAAGCACCATATACCGAATAAGACCTAATGTTTCGTGACATTTTAATTTATCTCTAGGAGTATGTTATTTTATATTAAGATATTATTCTACTTCTTGACAACACAGGTTATGAGTTTGAAAAATCTGTACGTTAGGAATCACTAGTTCTAAGACTTAGTGATATAAAATGTCTTACAATGTATTTCCAGCTTAATTCCATCTTCCATATCACTCCCTGGTACTAGCCGGTTCTCTGCAGCACAAGAAAGGTAAACTCCATCATCTTCCATGCTGGGCGTAAATGTCAGGATGCTTGTTGTAGCGTTGCCGTTTACAGACACTACAGACTTGGCGGTCATTTGGCGCACATTACCTTTCCACCAGGATATTTTTGCAGGAGGGCGTGAACCAGCTGTAAAACATTCGATTTCTGCAGGCTTCCCAGCTGAAAAGTGGCGCCCTTCTTTTAAATGAACCTCGAGGGGTCTGACTAGTAGAAAAAGTTTGATATAATGTATTTTACAGAGAGTTTGCAATGACTCATATGTATTTAATACGAACTTCCAATCCCAGCATGCTACATAATTAGAGCGATAATAAGAAATCAACCCAGTAATGAATATAGCTAATTAAATGTACATTTTCTTAAGTCCCTATTTATAAGGATTAGAATGCAATGTTTCATCATTAGGGTACCCTAACTGTTAGCAATATTTTCGGCTAATATAGCTAATTAAGTGTACATTTTCTTAAGTCCCTATTTATAAGGATTAGAATGCAATGTTTCATCATTAGGGTACCCTAACTGTTAGCAATATTTTCGGCTAATATAGCTAATTAAGTGTACATTTTCTTAAGTCCCTATTTATAAGGATTAGAATGCAATGTTTCATCATTAGGGTACCCTAACTGTTAGCAATATTTTCGGCTAATATAGCTAATTAAGTGTACACTTTCTTAAGTCCCTATTTATAAGGATTAGAATGCAGTGTTTCATCATTAGGGTACCCTAACTGTTAGCAATATTTTCGGCCGTAATTCCAATAATGTATTGAGCTAAAAATGCAAAATAATCACTATAATAAAAGAACAATAATAAAAAATTAAATTAAAAAATAATAAAATTAGACATACTAAACTGTCTAATCAATTTTGTTAATGGTTTTGTTTTTTCTTTATAACAAAGCCACATTGGGTAAACCTTTTGTGTCTACCACGAGGATAGAACTTATAGGCTTACCGCTGTCGCACCGGGGGACGTGTTAGTGAAAATTTTAACACTGAAATAATATGAACTGACTTTTCCACAAACTACCTAATCACGTCTCGTGGCTAATGGAAATCTATTAAGCAACACTATCAGAGTAACTTAAGTGGAGCGTGGCATATGAGGTAAATTACAACAGCACATGTTACTGTTTAGCGTGTGTTCAGTCAAGCAGTAAGAATTGAACAAGAATACAGCCAAAAACTAATGTCTTTTCAAGATGAAAAATAATATGTCAGAAAAGTAAATATTAAAAACACAGTAATACCAAAAGACATCTTTAATACGAATGTTTTGGAATTTCCTTAAATTCCATCATCAGCGTTAATATCTAAAAAAAAGGTTAGTTCATAATACTCGAACTACAAAAAAACAACATTAGCATAGAGCGAGTTTTCGTATTCAATCGGAGGTTTAGACTAAAACAGATTTAAACGGTAACGATATAATGGAGCGTACGATAAAACGTGAAGATCCATCAACAGGGGGAGGAAGTAGTGGTAAAAAACCGCGAAAACTCAAAAACGCCCAAAAAACGCAAAATGCAAAACTGAAAATTTTTATATGGACCCAATGAATCTTCTTACCAAATTTGATGAAGATTCATCAACAGGGGGCAAAGTAGCGTAAAAAATTCAAAATACAAAACCGAAATTTTGTACGTACCCCCGCATGGATCTAATGAACCTCCATACCAATCTTGGAGAAGATTCATCCACACCCTGCGAAATAGTTACATGGACATACAACAGACAGTATTATCACACTTACATAGATTCTAAGTGTTGAAGTAAATACTAAACGTAGCTTAATTTGTGAGTAACATGTTTTGATTATTTTTTGAATTTGATATTTGAGTTTAAAACTTTGTTTGTCAGTGAAAGTACGTCTCATTTTATCCACGAGTTGTTCGACTTATCAATATGTTGTTACGCTTTCATGCGTTCCACAGTTCATCAAATGTTCACCTCTAACTCTGCAATAATATGGATAAGAAAGCTGAATTATTAACTTGGAAAAATACTCGTTTCTGTTTATCGAAAAAAATGCGTAAAACGTAAGTGTATTCAGAATTGACCTAATTTTTGGGGTTAGGTTTTGAATGTGATAGTGACTATATTTATAGAACAAACCAGAACCTGTGTTTTAGTGTGTGTAAATTTAATGTAAAGTTCAGGCTAACGTTGTCCCCCATATCCATTCATGGGGTAGGGAATGTCATCACTGTTTTTAAATGTGAAACTGGTCGAAAGAACTGTATATATTTCATTACTCATCTTCAAGTTTATGAAGTATTTCTGTATGCCTTTTATGTGTGTGTGTGTGTTAAATGAATGGAAATGAAATATTTTTATAAACGTAATCACTCCACTGTTAGAAAGACAATGTGTGCATTTAGTCTTGGAGTCTTTCGTGTGTCTCGGTTACTTCTTAGCTAAATAAACTAAAGCATTATTTTAATTGATTGCAAATTTTACAACAACCAAATCGAGAAAGCACACTATGCAAGCAATATTTTTCGATAAATGAAATTGTTAATTTCAACAAAGTGCTATTATAATAGTTCTGCCTTTCAAAACTAAATTGGAGTTTGGATATAAAAACATAAATATAGAACTAAATGATGTGGTTTATTAGAAGTTAAACATCATGATTAGTAAACGGTGAAATGCGTAATTATGACATTCTTTGTATTAATATTAGGTGGTCCTGAAAATGACATTTGGTAAAAGTGAATGACATATGTTTTCACAGGATCAATACCCATCATCCTCAGGACGAACACTCATGCGGATAACACAGCGTTCTTCCTGTCAAGTGCTATAATATCTGCAGAATGTCTACATTTTCAATCATGTGATTGCACAAATAAAACAAAACACATGGGACACTGGGACGTGGTGATTGTTTAGAATATGCCTACCAAGCGCCTTTTACTTGAACTCAAAATTTCCAAAAACTGAACATCAAATGTATACTAATTTTTATTACAATCTAGGACAAACCAACTATTATGTATTCAATGTAAACAGACGAAGAATGTGTATGGGTCCTTCACCCTCTTTGTTCGTTGGATGATAAATAGTGTAAGTTTTATATCAAATCTAGAACAAACCAACCCTTATGTATTCAATGTAAACAGACGAAGAATGTGTATGGGTCATTCCACCCTCTTTGTTCGTTGGATGATAAATAGTGTAAGTTTTATATCAAATCTAGGACAAACCAATCCTTGTGTATTCAATGTAAATAGACGAAGAAAGTGTATGGGTCATTCCACCCTCTCTGTTCGTTGGATGATAAATAGTATAAGTTTTATATCAAATCTAGAACAAACCAACCCTTGTGTATTCAATGTAAACAGACGAAGAAAGTGTATGAGTCATTCCACCCTCTTTGTTTATTGGATGATGAATAGTATACATTTGCTTATGTCACTAAATGGTTGAGAGCTCTTGTTATTAAATTACAATTTTGATAGTGATTAATCCAATTAAGATGGACACGAAACTAGATTTTTTGAACATCTTATACCAAATCAACTGAATAAATATTTTCATAAACAATAGTAAATGTATACAAAATGATGTTATTCTTAATAAACAAACACACTGAGCTCTATAGATAGATTTCGTTCTATTGTAAGGTTAATACAGTACTGTAAACCCTGTTTGTACAAAACTGAAACCCGCGTGATGATGATCTTGATGTATAGTACAGTTGCTGGTGTTTTTATGTCTGAGCTGGAAACAAATGTTTATTTTAGAAGTTTATCAGAATTGTCATGGTTGATATATGTACCAACCAATATCAAAAAGCACGTCTAATTAATTATCAAGTGCTATGGCTTCTGTTTCCTTTGGTTACTTGGTTAACGTGAACGTCCTTTATTATTCCTACCTTGAAATTTTACTGTAAATGACTAGAGATTATTTTGAAAGTATTGATCTAAAAACATAACTCATTACATAAAATCTTTGAGTATCATAATCTCCACAAATGTGTGATAACAGTACTATTTAGAGGTGTAAAATGTATCATAATCTCAACAAATGTGTGATAACAGTAATATTTAAAAGTCTAAAATGTTACTTAATAACAATACTATTTAGAGGTCTAAAATGTTGCTTAATAATAATACTATTTAGAGGTCTAAAATGTTGCTTAATAACAATACTATTTAGAGGTCTAAAATGTTGCTTAATAATAATACTATTTAGAGGTCTAAAATGTTGCTTAATAATAATACTATTTAGAGGTCTAAAATGTTGCTTAATAACAATACTATTTAGAGGTCTAAAATGTTACTTACATTAGAATTATGTCTATCTAAACAAAATTCAGTTATCAAAAGAGGATTAAAAACAAGGGATTTTCACTAGAATATAAAAATCTAATTACAACTTGATTTAGAAGATTAAAACAAATTTGTTAGAAATAGTGATTTAATTCAAGCTAAGTATTTGTGAATTTGTTTCTTTGTTTGCGAATAGTTTTTGAGACAGGAGGACCAAACTTGGAAGGCGGACTCGAGATGACACGGGGGAGTCCTTATCTATATGACATAGTCACACCATCAAAAGATACCAAGAGGGCTAAAACGCTCCAGTTAGACTGGCTTTTAGGGTAGATTTTCAAGGTCGTTAAATGTTAATCTGGCATCGTTTACTCGACCTAGAGAAAGCATTAGATACAATTTGGCACTCAGGTTTAACGTTCCGGACGTTACATTATTCGCTGGTTATCCAACTTCTGAGATAATACAAAATGTCGGTTAAATATAGAGGACATCTTCTCAGAGTGCTTTACTCCTGAGGTGGGTGTCCCTCTCAGATGGGTTGTTAGCCCCATACTCTTCATCACGAATGTAAGCGATACGCTATTAACTGATATAAAAGTCTCTGTTTTACTTCACAATCTGCGGTTGATGTAGCAATTTGGAAACGTTCCATAGCAACCACAAAATTACAACCCACGTTAAATGACATAATAGGAGACTGCCAGAAGAAAAGAAGAAAAATTAATGTACCAAAAACACAAGTACTCATGTTCACAAAATCAAACTGAGTTCAAAAAACAAAACCGTGTTTACCTACATGAAACCCTCCTCCAGACTGCTACATCAGCAAAATTTATAGGCCCTTACCTACGACTCGAAACTAACCTGACAAACACTCGTAAATGAACTGAGAAATAAAATCTGGAAGCGAGTGAATCA